GTAAAGTATAGAAATAAAAGTATCCTGATGCATCTCAGTAAACCAGGTAAAAAATCAAAAAGAAAAAAATTGTGTATGTTGTAAAACTGTGTAAAGTTGTGAATTTTGCCTGAAACTCTCAGACTGAAGAAGTCTCTTGGAGAAGAGACGAAACGTTTCATTAGAGAAGAACCCGTCCAGAAGACCTATACAATTTTTTCTTTTTGATTTTTTACCTGGATTACTGAGATGCATCAGGATACTTTCACAGAACCTCTGACTCTTTGTGCAAAACCAAACTCTAGCTTCAAAATAGTTCTAACTGTGCTCAAAACGGAGCTGTCCATGAAGTAGAAAACACCACAGAGCTGTCAGTACAATCAGCATGGAAAAACAGAAAGTGCAATAATCAGTTCATGATGGATGCTTTTGAAATAATCTTTATTGCCAACAAAGGAAAATACATTTCCTAAACATAATACCAGTTTAGCACTTGTAGTAAAAAAACATATCTCTAATGTATAGAAAATTTGTATCTCACCCTACTCTTCAACTTTATTTTAAAGGTCTGGAGTTTCAGGGTTCTGTTCAGTATCTTGGCTGTTTTTACAAGTAACCTGTTCTAGACAGAGATCTCTGAGGTTGGTCCTGGGATCTGTTAAAGTCACTCCTCTAGTTTGGGTCACAGCACCAAGTGATCTAGTGACCATTTGGACTATTGATGCTTTGAATTTGACTTATGAAAGGGGCTTATACTGTAGCTTCTTGTTTTCCTTATGGTATTCCTCTAACTTCTCTTTTTTCTTTTTCCTGGTGTTTCAGTCATTTATGATGTCTACATCTATCACTGCTGCCTTCTAACTTTAACATGTATGGTTTAAATTTCATATTTAGATTTACACATTTAAAGTCAGGATTTAATATTTACATATATTAAACGTTAAAATTGAACATTTAGTAAAAAATAGCAAAATATAAGAACATTGAACTAAATAATAAAACATATTAGTAACTAGGATTTGAGACTCAGAACGTGAGCTAAATAATGAAAATGTGTTAGTGACATTTTATTTTACACTTGGCACCACATGGCCTATAAGAAGGCCAAGATGGAAGATGTCAACCTAATCAACTTTCTAATTTTTTTCCTTCAAATCCACTGAAGGGTTCATGAGATATTTTACAAACAAACCAACAAACTAACAAAGTTGTCAAACTGACTGGGTAACAGTTAACGCTGTGCTGTGGCAGCCATCTTGAACTGCCAGCATCAGACCTGAGGAGGACGGTCCTGGTAGAGCACCAACAGAGGTTCACTCAGGCAGCTTCTGTTCAGACAGTACAGACTCTGGGTCAGCGCCTCATGAAGGACCAGACTCCCACTCTCGTCTCTGTAGTGGAGCTGAAAGCCCACCACCTCCAGAGGCCTCGCAGCCAGAACCTGTGAGACGTCAAACACGTCGTACCCAGAGGAGGGTCGCTGATCCAGCATCAGCTGCCTCTCCTGGAGGGCCAGGAGTCGGTCCAGAGGGTCCCGTAGAGCGACCAAGCCATGCAGGGAGACAGTAACACTGAGGGGAYGTGGGTGGAGGGTCCTCCTGAACAGAACCAGTTCTGCACCCAGGATGGATGGGTCCAGGCTGCTAACATTAAACCAGATCCATCCATCAGGAGCATCAGGTGGAGCTGTGTGGTTCAAAGAAAAAAAACATCATTTATGACTACTACAGTGTCTGAGCATAGCTTTCAAATAAACTTTTTTCATCTTATCAGTCACATGGTTTTACCTTTTGTTTGCATCATACATTTTACAGAAACATTTATTTCTCCATGAAAACTAAACCTTTAGTATTAAAACTGTAAAAGTGGGCTGCAGTAGGTCAACGTCAGTAAATAAACCAGTACAGGATTTGTCATGGCCATGATCTAAAGTCAGACAGTCAACATTGTTGTGTGTTTCTTCACAGTGGTAAGTCATGCAGGGAGGAGCAGCCAAAATAACAACTAAATCTGTAAAAGTTACTTATTTTAAAAAGTGCAGAAATTTACAACAATTGTGTTCATAAAGGAGTGTCCTGGAAGGCGTGTTGTCTGGTGACTTCCTTGTTCTTCTCAGTGACTTCAGTGCCCATGTGGGCAATGACAGAKTTATCTGGAAGGAGGTGATTGAGACGAATGGCTTCCTTGAACCTCAATGGTGTTCTGTGCTAAGCACAGGTTGTTCATAATGTAATGGAACTAATAATTTTATGTTTAAGCAATTCAYAACATACTTTAATGACCTAGGTTTTCATGACATGCTGTTCATCTGCAGATAGACTGATTAAAGTCAGAACAAGATTTGCTAACAACAGTCATTTTTAGATATCACTTGTGTTCATCTTTATGTTTTCCATTGACCTTGTATCAAATCTTGCTAAGATGACATAATGGCGTTTGTTTATATGTATATATAT